CCATGTGTCTTGAAAATTTAAAAAAATTATGGAATCCTTGAATATTTGTTATTTAACAAACTTGTGTTATTACTCATGCAATTGATTGTTGGGGAGAAATACTCATGGATGAGACAAATATCAAATGTTTCTTTTTCAATAGTCTGTGTTGGGTGAGTTTTTGTAATCTACGTTGTAATCTTGTTTGCTAGAGTATTGAATTAGTAACATTAATATAGTAACATTCGTGTTACTATAGGAACACAAGTACAATAACATATGTGTTACTATAGGAACACAAACAAAGTAACATTCGTGTTACTATGGATGGAACTATAGTAACACTGTGGTATTTATGTTACTATAGTAACATGAATTTTACTATAGAAACACGTACATAATTGTAACCTATATTTCTATTACTGCCTAATAACAGTCGTGTTACTGTTCTATATTGACATTGTTCATCCTCTAAAAATTATGCGTTACTATTGATTAACATGTAGACATATGTTACGGTTGCAAAGCAAGAACACTCACAACAGATTGAGATAGACAACAATTTGAACATGGGGCAGGTTTGGCAATTACTTGTGTTCCCAATGAATTCAGATCGAAAGCATAGCTAACCCATACCATTCCACTAGACCTTGCTTGTACTGGATATAGATGCAGGTGAATGGATCCACTAAAACTCTTTGAAACCTCGTAGTGGAATGATGGACAAGTGGTTTAAGGATGCAAAAATTTTGGTAAGTTATTAAAATGTGAACAACCCACAATATTTGATATATTTTTCTTGATTAAAGTTAACAACATTTTATTATAGCAGAAAGAATACGTGGAGGCGGCATCCAAAGAAGGACAAAGGAAGTCATTGAAAACAAAATATGAAATTGTTGTCTGCACACAAGACATCAAATGTCCAATGTATTCATATGAGAAATGTCCTCAACAAAGAGTTGATACGTACATAAATATGAAATAGTATATCTTTAAGTACATTATATTAAATATCATTAACAAACATACATGAATGCAGGGTCGACTGCGGATTGTACGTGTTACTTAATGCAGCAGCTTGTTCTTGGACATCAAATAGAAGAGAAATTGAAACTACCTCAACTTAACGCTCTATGGATAGATATGGTGTCTACATTCATAAACCATAGGAATGCATGGACTATTGAAGACTACAAGACAAGATCAAGATTGAGAAAGAGATACCAAAGAAAATAGGACTTACTAATGTTTTTCATAGATATTTTTTTTAGGCTAATTGTAGGGTTGGTTACAAATTGGCTGTAATTGCTGGCTGGTTGTTAAATGGATGGTTAACAAATTGGTTGTAATTGTTGGCTGGTTGTTAAATGGATGGTTGACAAATTGGTTGTAATTGTTGGCTGGTTGATAAATGGATGGATTGAAATTTGATTATAATTGTTGGCTGGTTGATATTTGATTGTAATAGAATGTTTGTGGAACAAATGAAACTCTGTCAAAATTATAATTCAAATAGTAACTCAAATAGTAACATGCTATGTTCCAAATTACATACCCCATTCGATTTTAGAATGTTGAAATGAAGTTGATTGTGTAATATAAATGTTTTTATCCACATGGTTGGGTATTGTTTGTATAGTTTATTTGTAAAACAGTTGAAAACTCTTTCATTATTGGTTACCCCAAAAAAAGTAACATGTAACGTGTTTTAAATTCCTTCCAATTTAGGCAATCACTTCAGGGAAGGCATCCAAACTATTCTTACTTTCTCATTTATTTTGATCATATGCACAATTTCATTTTTTAGAATGGCGTCCAGACAATTTTGGGAGTGTCGAATGCCAGTGACTTTCTATTCTAGACTTTCAACTTATTTTGATCCAATTTGAGGTCGATTCACAAAATTTCCACGAATTACACTTTTGTAATTCTTGAAGTTTAGTTTCTAATGCTGCAATAATTAGACCAATCGAACATTGGGGTAAAAGTTATGACTAAAATATTGAGATAACATCAAATCCATTCTTACCTGAATTCTTTTTAAAATAAATTATTAAAATATACATCTATATAATAAAATAGAAGTGTGTTTGAATTTTATTTCAGTCATATTTTTTCTCTCAAAACCATCACCAATCACTTAACTCACTCATCATCCCTTTGGTCAGACTCAAACGTCAAATCACATCACTCATTTCTATCACATATTTAATCATTTATATATTTCCTCCCTAAAAATATCACATCACTCATTTATATCATATATTTAATCATTTAATATTTAATTAATTTTTAGTTAATATATTTTTAAAAAATTTAATATAGTGGGATCGATTTTTTGGACGTTCGAATTTTATATTTTATTGTGTCTTTAAGCATGGATAATGACTACTACATCTATATAATAAAACATGATATAACTTAAATTTTATCCCCACTATATTTTTCCCCCCAAATTAACCCAACCGAGCCCATCTAACCTAACCCAACCTAGCCCACCTATCACAACGGCTCCTTGCACTTCTATCTTAGGCGGTCACATCCCCANACAAGCACAAATTGCACACACACACACACACACACACACATATATATATATTATTAATGAGATTTAATTTGTTCTATTTTTTTAATTTGATTATTTTTTTATTTATTGTTATCAAATTATTTATTAGTTATTAATTTTTTATATCAAATGTTATTGTTCATTTATTGTGTAATTTAATTTATTCTTGTAAATTTACTGTGATTCGATTATTTATTTGTCGTTGTCATTTTTTTGATCAAACGTTATTATTCAGTTATTGTGTTATTCAATTTATTATTGATTTGATATATTGTTATTTTTTATTAGATAAAACTATATTTTATAAATATTTTTAAATTAAAGAGCTAAAAATTAATTTATTTTTAAACGTCAGTTCTGTATAGTTATCAAACAGTTTGATTTAATTCAGTATTTAAATTTTAGTGGATACTAAACAGTCCACAAATTCAGTATTCAGTTTTTAACTTTCAAATTTCAATTTTCAATTTTCAGACTTTAACTTTTAATTTTATCAAACACCACCTAAATTCTCAAATTAAATTCCTATAGCATTGTTTGTATATATGAAGCACAAAGTAACACTTTTTTTGTTTTTTTGTTCTATAAAAGTTATTGAATTTTGTCAATTATTTGGAGTTAAAATACGAGAAATTAACCTATTTTTAATTGACTCGAGAAANTTGCTAAATATAGTTTTGTTAATTTTGGCATGCACCTTGGTAAGCACATGGATTTTTCTTTGGTGGCTTTCCCATGCATGACTCTTGGCATATTCAAGGCTTGGTTNTTCGATTATTTATTTGTCGTTGTCATTTTTTTGATCAAACGTTATTATTCAGTTATTGTGTTATTCAATTTATTATTGATTTGATATATTGTTATTTTTTATTAGATAAAACTATATTTTATAAATATTTTTAAATTAAAGAGCTAAAAATTAATTTATTTTTAAACGTCAGTTCTGTATAGTTATCAAACAGTTTGATTTAATTCAGTATTTAAATTTTAGTGGATACTAAACAGTCCACAAATTCAGTATTCAGTTTTTAACTTTCAAATTTCAATTTTCAATTTTCAGACTTTAACTTTTAATTTTATCAAACACCACCTAAATTCTCAAATTAAATTCCTATAGCATTGTTTGTATATATGAAGCACAAAGTAACACTTTTTTTGTTTTTTTGTTCTATAAAAGTTATTGAATTTTGTCAATTATTTGGAGTTAAAATACGAGAAATTAACCTATTTTTAATTGACTCGAGAAAAAATTTAATCATATAAGGCGGACCGAATACTAGGAGTGTTCAAATTTTCGATTGGCTGTAATTTTCTACCCTACCCGACTCTACCTTATTGAACGATTAGTCACAAAAATCGGGTAGGAATGCGAAATACTCATTAATTTTCGCATTCCTACCCTACCCTACCCGTAAAAAATATATTTAAATTTTTTATATTTTTTTTAGTAATTATAAGAGTATTTGTATAGTATAATTTATGTTATAACATTATAATTGTTGTAAATGTTTGAGTTGTTAAAATATGAACTTGTTTTTTGTGTAGGTTACATAATTTATGGTGAACTAGTGATCTATTGAAACAATTATAATTTTAATGTATTTTATGTAATTTAAACTTAAAATAATTGTTATTGTATTCGTGTAACAATTATGATGAATTGATATTCATGCTTTCTTGTGTTTTATTATAATTATTGTTGTAATTGTTTTAGGTTTTAGTGTTATTAAATTAGTACATGTTATTTAATTGAATTATTAAAATAATACAAAAATTAATAGCTACAAAAATATTTATCCGACTTCTTACCCGATTAATCGGATAAGAATATCGCACCTGATCGGATAGGATAGGATAAAAAATTTATTTTTACTAAAATATCGAATAAAAAAATAAAATATTATATTTCTTATTTGTAGAATAGGTGGACACCCGTCCAAATACCCTCATCGTTAAAAACAGAAAAAGGCGTTGAACCGTGGCCAAGACGTTTAGACTTCTGACACCACTTAGTTCACCAAAATTGAAGACTCCTTTTGTTTATTATAAACTTCTAATTAATGCCCAATTAATTCTTATAAACTTCTAATTAATGCCCAATTAATTCTCAACAACAACAAAAAAAAAAAGTGGTCCAGTCTAATTTCTCTCTCTACAAGCACACTATAAAACGCCACCAACCCTCGGCCAATCCTCACAGTGAGAGAGCGGAGACATATTTCCGGTTTGTGCGTGATTCTAATTTCATTTCATCACAGCCGTCCGTCCACACGAGACAGCTTAATCAGATGGCGTTAGATTCACGCACAAACTCGTGATTTGTCTTCTCTGCAATACTAGTAATAGATTGAAGGTCTAATTTCTGGCGCCATTTTCTTTTTTTCTTTTGATTTTTATTTTCCCTCTCTTAATTGCAGCATCGAGACTAGGAAAGGCACATGATGTGTGGACTATGATATGTGTATTTGGACCAGGAAAAGCACAGACGACGATTCCGTCGCAGCCGGCCACCGCCATCAAGCACTGCCACATCCAGGTATGTCTCTCCCCCTCTCTTTGTAAGATCTCGTCCCACCACCACCACCACCTTGTGCCATCTCTGTCAGATCTCCTCCACCACAACCTCACCCCACCAAATAACTCCAAACCCACCCCCACTGAATAACCCCAACCCATCCCAAAGGCTTTGCAACTCCTCTCTCTCTCTCTCTCTCACACACACACACACACACACTAGNTTGCAGAGAGAATGAATCGCACCATTCTTGAGAGAGTCAGATGTTTGCTCTCACATTCTAAATTGCCAAGATCCTTTTGGGGTGAGGCAATGAGGACCACAGTTGATCTTATCAATTTGTCTCCTTCAGTTCTGNACACACACACACACTAGCAGTAACCTTCGAGTTTGTGCTTGTTAAATAGTGTATTGGGTTGCAATTTTTGTTGGGATTTTATTGGTATTGATTGTTAGCTCAAATTTACTCTCAATCCTTTTGGCCTTTTCAAGCCGTGACAATATTTTGTTTGAAATTTTGAGTTTGTACTTGTTCATATGTGTAATGGGTTGTAATTTTTGTTANAAAATCTGCATTATCAGAGTTTTTTTATTTAGGATTTAGGATATAAGTTTTGAATACTTTATCGAGGCAAACATAAACAAGTTAAAAGCAAACTCTTTGTCACTCTTATCTCTACATAAATCTTCTTGCATATAATATTTATTTGGCATTTTTCTGTTGGTTGCTCGCTGGGCTGGGCAGCCCTTAGCACAAGGGTGGCATCAAAAAATTATAGTTTATTTTTTATTTTCAAATTTATAATTTTAAAATCCCTATCGTGTATTAAATTTAACTGGCTTTGTAAATGCTAGATTGTTGTACATTCCCCTAGTTGGAAGATGTGAATTTGGATTGATACAATGACATTCAAGGTTGTGATGGAAAGAGAGTACTTACAATGATGTGCAGATAATCCGCATTTTAATGAATTAGATTCAAGAATGACCCANTGACTTGGTTAAAAATAATAATTTATTGCGTTTTCCAGTAATTTGCAAAGCAGGTATTGGAACTCTTCTGGTCATTACCTTTGTGGGTACATCTCTGGTGCATATATTGTTTGACTTCAACAACCGAAATTATGATGGTAGAAATGAGTCATATCCTGGATGGCTGCAATGATGTAGAGATGTGTGTAGTGCCGTTAGTGTTATTATAGGTGGAGTAATTGATCATGACTGTTGTGGTGGTTGGGGTAGCCACTGNATGACACATGATATATGGCAAGTTAGGTTGTGTCCGAGAATAATGCTTGGTTATTTCGTGTTCAAATTCAATGTTCGACTTTTTTTAGTTGTATCATGCCTTCAGGCACGGGTTATACCTATGTTTCGGATTCACAATTGTTTTATTTTTCCTAACATATTTTGATAATTGATTATATTTCAAATATTTTTAGGTATACATGAAAGGATATGAAGATGAAGTTGAAAGTGTTTTTCTATTTGTGCATGTGTTTNGACCTGGTTACATATATTCCAACTTTGGCGTCTGATTGCATATGTTCATGTTGTGTGGCGTTCAGTCGTGATGCCTAGTAAGCTTGGCATGTTTGACATTTAACATTTCATACATTTAAACTAATCTTACTTTTATCAATTCCAAACTACTCTGAATTGGGACTGTTCTGTGATATCCCCTTGACATTTTAGTTGTAATGCAATACTATCTCTTGTTAGTATTAGTTCTATAAGAGACCATTAGCATTCAACAAAAGATCACCCAGTGTTCACTGGACAAATATAAGTCAAGGCACTTCATTCAAAATAAAAAGTCAAAAACAAGGGAGGTTTTTAATTTTTGGACAACCTGTGCCTCTGTTCCAATATTCTCTTCTTCTGTTTTTTCAACTTCTTCAATTTCTTTTATTTCCATTATTTTCTTCATGAACTTCTTGTTAACTTTTTGTTACCTTTTTAATTTCTGCATTCACTTCTTCAACTTTGGTTTCCGCAAGTTGTTGAACTTGATTGAGACAACAATGTTCTCCATCATACATTGATGTATCTTTAAAGCTACACTCTTCGTTTATAAACTCAATCTTTTTTCAAGAAGACACATTCATGTTTGGAAACAATACATTTGCAAAAATGCATTTGAGTTGTCCTCTTAGATAATAGTATGTACATCAGATTGGTATGGTGTGTGCTCAGGTTTCTACTTCACTTTGAATCATGCTAGGAAGAAACGGTGGAGGAGTTCACGAGAAATGGTATTGATCCACTCACTGTATCACTTTACCAGATGGACTTGGACAGGATACTGTTTTTATTGAGATCATATCTTCGGACTCGTCTCCAGAAGGTAGCCATGAACTAAACTCTTTCTGTGTGTTTTAGGGTGTGGCTTGAATGTCCCATGCAAATTGAGCAATTCGGTTTTGCTTCAACAAACCTTTTGAAATTGCTCATATAAACTAACGTTCTAACGGGAATATAAAATAAAAGAAGCTGCTGAACCTGGTCTATTAGGTTTTAATGTGTTGTTAAATGGTGTTGTAATTAAATTATTGGACTGCAGATAGAGAAATACATGTTTCACATCCAAAAAGCTACTGAACTCTGGAATCGGCTATCTAAGCAAGAACAAAATTTTGCCAAAAGGTAAAGACTGCCATTTTTCTTTTTCTTTTTTGCATTCCTTGTCATTCTCGAGTGGAAATTTATCTCATACTTGCGGTTGGCTATGATTACAGGTCCATTGAAGATATTGAGCAACATTTTGAACAATCTGTTCTGTCAAAATTGCCTGATCGTTACAAGTCCCATCTGAAGCAATCTGTAACAAGTGAAGAGGATGACATGGGTAAGCTTACTTTACTTGAACCGATACTAATCTCTTTGTAAAAATATAAATTGTGTTGACCCAATATTTGCTTAAGCAGCTGTCAGTTTTCAAAGTATAAAATGTTGGCTTGAAATTTTGTTCTTAGTTAATATGCTCTTTCTGATGGTTGGCACCATATGGTGATACTGAAACATTGCTTTCTTTTTCTATATGACTTCAAGTTCCAGAGCCACTGCTGGACACCTATGTCATCTGCAGAAGCAAGAGATTCTTAGGAGCTTTCCAGCTTGACGAAAGGCAACTTTTTTATTCATAGATGTCCTCTCTTGTTTTTTTTATGCCACATATATAGTATTATGTCATCCATCTGTTTGCTAACCAGTGGAATTTCTCATGACAGAGGGGTAGACGACCCTGTGGACATTAAAGCTGATGATATATATGCTCTACGTTACAAGTCAATAAAGCCACTTGTCGAAAGTGGACAAATGGATCTTGTTTGAGCATTTAACTTCTGGCAGCCGACTGGACTACATTTTCATGATCCGCCCAAAAAAATAAATAAAAAAAATTCATAAGGGTCCAGTGCCGGCNTTTTTGGTGCCAGAAAAATCTGCAAATTTGTTCTTCAAGTGGGTAACATTTCTTCACTTGATATTTGGGTTTCTTGCGGTTTGTTCTTGGAGATTTGGTTCACTTATTTTGTGAGGTATTTTCCTCTTGTGATTTACACCTTGGTGTGTTTGTAAGGCTTATGCCTTTTGGCCACTTTGTAATCTGATTTGGTGATAGTGGAAGAAACTGACCTACCGGTCGTTGTGGATGTACCTCAAGTTATTTGAGGGAACCACGTAATTCTTGTGTGCTTATTTATTTTCTGTTATTTTATTTATATTGCTTCCATTGATTTACACTTGTGAGAAATCCTATTTTCCCCAACACCCAAATCCCTAGACAAGCAACCACGCCATGGCAACACACAGTCGGCAAGTTAGGCGACAAGTCAGGCAGAGAGTCACTTCCCTCTGCGCAAACACCCTCCTCCCATCCCTCTTCTGTGCAAACACTTCCTCTCTCTCTCTCTCTCTCTCTCTCTCTCTCTCTCTCTCTCTCGTAAACACCTCCCTCTTTTGTGCCGCTGTCCAAAGCCACAAATCTCTCTGCTTTCTCTGCTCAATCGCACACACAGGGATTCACTGTCAAAGGGCCTGAGTTCTGCCCAATCACGTTGTTCAATCTCTCCCCAATCTGAATTTTTCTCTGCCCAATCTCTCTGCTTTTGAGTTCCTCCAGCGGCTGTTCCAGCTGGGTAGCAGATTCATTTATGCACACAATTTCAAATTAGGTAATACTTCGGCATCTCTGTTCCGGCTGGGTAGCAACTCCTCCTTCGGCATTTGGTAATTCTTCATCTCTTTGAAACATATATATTTGAGTGTTTTTGTGTTGAATCTGTAAACCTTTTGCATAAATGAATCAACGTATTTAGTTATGACGCAAAGTTATCATCTTTTTTGGACTTGATTGTTATGTCGCAAACCTTTTGCATAAATGAATCAATCTTTTGCATAATTGTTACTGATTCAGATCAATTTTTATTTATGGTAAAATTGGTTTATTTATTTATTTATTTTTTTTTGTGATGTGATTTATTTTTTTGTAGTAGTTAGTTCTTGCCTCTTTCTCTGCTTCCACTGTTCTTTTGCTTTCACTGTGGTATTTTGCTGGAATCAACCTTTTGCATAATTGTTACTGATTCAGATCAATTTTTATTTATGGTAAAATTGGTTTAGTTTTTTTTTTTTTTGGGTGAGATGTGATTTATTTTTTTGTAGTAGTTAGTTCTTGCCTCTTTCTCTGCTTCCACTGTTCTTTTGCTTTCACTATGGTATTTTGCTGTTTATCACTGTGGTATTTTTTTTGTAGTAGTTAGTTCTTGCCTCTTTTGTTTTTTGTTTTTTTTGTGGCCACTGTTCTATTGATTTAATGCGTGGTTTCGTGACTCAAAGTTCAATTGCGTGGTTTCTGAAATAATGTGTAGCCACTGTTTTTTTGGAGCTTGCAGTGAGGTTGATTTAATGTGTACATTTTTATTGCAATCTATGTGAGCTTGCATTTTTACTGGATTCTGTGATTTTATTGGAGCTTGCATTCTGTGAAATAAATTATGGTGTTGATTGGAGCTTGCATTTTTTATGAACAGCAAACTGAATTTTTTGGAAAGTTGTGTCGACATTTGTTTAAAATAAATTATGGCGTTGATTGGAGCTTGCATCTTTTTAACATTGTGTCGACATTTTTCTGCTAAATGTCAAACAAAAGGTGTGTGCAATCCCTAATCCCATCAGTAATCCCCTAATAATACAAAATCTGCATTATCAGAGTTTTTTTATTTAGGATTTAGGATATAAGTTTTGAATACTTTATCGAGGCAAACATAAACAAGTTAAAAGCAAACTCTTTGTCACTCTTATCTCTACATAAATCTTCTTGCATATAATATTTATTTGGCATTTTTCTGTTGGTTGCTCGCTGGGCTGGGCAGCCCTTAGCACAAGGGTGGCATCAAAAAATTATAGTTTATTTTTTATTTTCAAATTTATAATTTTAAAATCCCTATCGTGTATTAAATTTAACTGGCTTTGTAAATGCTAGATTGTTGTACATTCCCCTAGTTGGAAGATGTGAATTTGGATTGATACAATGACATTCAAGGTTGTGATGGAAAGAGAGTACTTACAATGATGTGCAGATAATCCGCATTTTAATGAATTAGATTCAAGAATGACCCATTTCACTAAACTCATGACACATGATATATGGCAAGTTAGGTTGTGTCCGAGAATAATGCTTGGTTATTTCGTGTTCAAATTCAATGTTCGACTTTTTTTAGTTGTATCATGCCTTCAGGCACGGGTTATACCTATGTTTCGGATTCACAATTGTTTTATTTTTCCTAACATATTTTGATAATTGATTATATTTCAAATATTTTTAGGTATACATGAAAGGATATGAAGATGAAGTTGAAAGTGTTTTTCTATTTGTGCATGTGTTTATTTTTTGTGTTATGTTTTTTGTACAGTTAACTAATTATACATGGTTATGATGGTTTTGTTTTGGTGGTTTGGATAAACATAGTTATGATGATTGTGGTGATATGCATAATTGTAAGTTTTATAAACAGATTTAAATTTTTTTGGGCTTCTATTTTTAGATGAAACTCTGTCCAAATTTCTTGAAATTAATAGGGATTAGCTTGATATTTTGGTGGTGGGATATGTGTTGATGATTGGATATATATTGATTATTGTGGTGGTGTGATAAATTATTGTAAGTTTTATAGATAGGTTTAGATTTTTTTGAACTTCTATTTTTAGAAGAAACTTTGCCCAAATTTTTTGAAATTAGTAGGGATTAGCTTGATGTTTTGGTGGTTAGATATGTGTTGATGATTGGATATGTATTGATTATTGTAGTGGTATAGTGAATTATTGTAAATTTTATAGACATGTTTAGATTTTTTTGGATTTCTATTTTTAGAGGAAACTCTGCCCAAATTTCTTAAAATTAGTAGGGATTAGCCTTTTGTTTTGGTGGTTGGATATGTGTTGATGATTGGGTATGTATTGATTATTGTGGTGATATAGTGAATTATGATGATTGTAAAGTTCTGTAGACAGTGTTACATTTTTATGGGTTCTTATTTTTAGAGAAAATTTCTGAATATTTGTATAAACTGCCTTAATTTCAAATTGACAGATTGTTTTAGGTTGTAAACAGTCTTTAGGTAATATAGGATTTTTTGAGTTTTAGATTGCATGACACTACCTTGATTTCGTTACGCCGTGCCTTCAGACACGGGCAATTACTAGTAGTTTGATATATCGTATTTATATTTATAGACCAAAAAACTACATTAATGTCTTTTATCAGGTTTTTTGGTATCTAATCGCATGGACTTCTACGATATTTATAAATTGAGCAATTAATAAGATCAATGATAAAATATACTATCCATACTTATGCAAAATAATTGGGACATAATTGAATTTTTGCTAATTCATCACTTGGCTAATAAATCTATTTATGGTATATTAAGACTCATTTAATTTATTTCTTGTATGATATGGGATTCTCACCTGTGATTTGTTGATGGTACATATTTGTATTAAAAAATCTAAAGGGAAGAGATATTCTTTTGATTCTTTTTTGTTTACGGCAGATATGTTTTTAAATGATCAGGAACTTTCACTAGTTAGTGTCACATTGCATTTCTGCAAAGTAAATAATAAATACCTATATGGCTCGTTTGGTAGACGTATACGTATTATGAAGAGATTATATATTAGATTATATTATTTTTTATTTAATCGGGTCTAACACTTTATTTGGTAAGTAAATTTGATATCATATTAATTTCAAAAATGTATACTTATCATATTTTTTTGTACGATAGATCTGTATTATGGAGATATTTTAATATCACCAGAAAATGTAATATTATAATTTAACTCAAACGTATTATTCTATACATTTTCTATTATAACCACCAAATGATAAAATCAAACTATTATAAATGTTACAAACAATGATTAAAGTTATTTTTGTTAATTCAACATTAATACAGTGAAATAATTTTCTAACCAAACAACCAATTGGATTAAATAACTACTATCCAACGTTTTATAATGTGTATTACCAAATACTAGATAAAATTATGTATTATTCTAATATCCTATTTAATCTTATTTTTTGTCAATATGTATTGTATTATACTGGATTATTTATCTAATCAAACAAGCCCATAAAAGGAAAATTACAGTTTTTAATAGCAAGGTTATACCTTTTAAAGGTAAAATTATAATTGAGTGAGGAAAGTTCAACCATGATCGACTATGAGATTCCTTTAAACAATTGTAACTTCTCTTTTACGAGTTATTATTTGACGTTTAAAAGTTGTAACTCAATATTTAAAAGCATTCATGATCAATCCTAAAACACTGTGATCGATTATGATTTTATAAGTTGTAACTTATACCTCAAAAGATTGTACTTTCACCTTAAAAAGTTGATAATACAGAAGACAGTACCGTAGACTTTCCCAAATTATAAATATCGATTAAACCAACTCGATTGAACTATCCTTGCGAATGAAATCATATATTTACCAAAGAAGAAGAATAACCGGACGTTTATGATCTATATGACCCATCTTTTTCATCATTTATGGTAGATGACGTTGACGCAGCACTACTAAGTTTTGTTGGAAGATTATAATTGTAAAAAATATGGCAACAATTTGAAAGCCTTGAA